TAACTTAAACTTAAATACATGCTCGGATAGGCTGGTATCGGCCAGTATCGGTATCAGATCGGAAGTCCAAAAACAATATCGGTATCGGATCGGAAGTGCAAAAACCTGGATCGGGACATCTCTAATTTGAACTAGCCTCTGTCTAAGGGTCTTGTTTGGTTTGAATTGATTTTGTGTTTGGAACCAAACGACCCCCGTTCCAAAGGGTTGGACCCTTTCGTCCGTTTCAATTATCATGTTTTAAAAAAGCAAACAAGGCTTTGTTGGGCTACTGTATAAAACCTCGAACTCAACGCTGTTCCTGACATTTGGAGTTGAAAAAGCTTCTTGGATGGGAAGCGAAACGTCTTCAAACTTGGAAAAAAAAAAAGTCCAGTGGAACGTTTTTAATTTTCTTTTTGGGACTGTGAATAATGCATTATTAGTTACAGTTTCTAATTAAAATGATTAATTATAAGCAAAATCAATTAGATAAAACTGCACGAGACTATCTGTAAAAAGGATAAATGGCTTTGAGATCAAATGCAACCACCAGTCAAATACAAAAAAACATTTGGTTAACAGCTTTGATTAGTAACTTCTATAAATCCTTTAACCTTAACCTATTCTCAAAAGGATTAAAGGCTGCGCTAGATGTCAAAAATAAACGTTTTAATTCACCATTTACCAAATTTGGTCTCTATATATTTATCTTCAGTGTGTTTGATAGCTGGCCTGTTTTCTTTGTTCCTTTCAGGATGTTTATAATAGAACTGCCTGGTTCCACTCACTAAAGCTAACCTTTTTTCTATCCTTTTCAAAATACACTTCTGGGTTCAGGGCTGCAGACATCCACTGTGTAAACACTGGAAACTTGTCGTATTAAGACCGTAGTCTGGTTTATGTCACAACCAGAATTCTGGATTGTTTTTGTATGATGATAAAAGAAAGAAATTATCATTTTTTTTATAAGGCCGCAAAATGTTTAAAGCAGCTGTGATTTATTTCTCTTACAATCGTATTTAGAATACATTGAATGGACATTAGTGGTTGATTTGTTTTTATACCCGCTCATCCTTACAGGGCTGTGGAGGGACTTTCTCTGCAGATTATTGAGTCAAAGAAAGTCCACATTAGTGATGATTTCTAAAATAGATCATATTCCATATATTCTGCCTAGTAATCCTCCAGGATATATATTAGAAACTCACAGACAGCCATGTGAAAGTCAGCGGAGACAGTGAACAGGCTTTCATAATCTGCAGCAGGGCTTTAATTTAGAGTAGTAAGGGGACAGCCGGGCACATAAACAGACTGACTGCCTTTCCACTCCCAGTTTTCTATCCCAGATTTGCCTGGGAGCTTCTGCCAAGCCAACATTATCCCAGCGCTCTGCTCGTTTCAGGACAGAAAAGGGAATGTAGGAGTCTGTGTGTGTCAGCAGCCGCAGTGTCGTTTCTTTGTGTTGCTCAATGAGGAAGGAAGAAGTGGAAGTGAAGAAAGAATGTGGCGGAGGTCCCCCAGGTGCAGAGCTCGGTACTTTGACTTCAGCGAGGAGGTTGTCCGCAGAGCACACCTTGCCGCTCCCAGGTTACCTTTAAACTGCCTTCTCTGTGTTCGCTGATGTTTTTATTTTATTCTGACCAAATCCGGTGAACTGTTTGCAGTTTCCTTTTTTTTTTTTTCTTAAAATGTACTTCAGATATGTGCTTTGTTATTAGATTACAATGTGTAATCTAAATATGTGCTCCAAAAGAAAAGTGGAAAATATGGATGTGAGAGTTTCATCATATTTCTAGGTAATCCCTGTTTTGCAGATATTTTATTTTAAAATATGCCCGTCTCAGATTAAGAGATTAGATTTCTGCTGGTTGAGCGTTGTGGTAATGTTGAAAGCAGAGCGTTTCTGATGACGCACAGGACGACATAGATCCCACCGATGGTCCTGCATGCCTTTAATCAGATTATGCACATTTCCAAATTAATCCGGGCCTCTCTGGCAGAGGTGTGGGACTCTGCATCCCAATGGACTCAGTTAATCCCAGATGGATGAAAATGACAGCAGTGCCAGGAAATGTAAATTCAATTCTATGTTGCTTATATTTACTGCTGATCTTTGGCTAATTGCTTTGACTTAAACTGTACACTAAACGCATTACTTTTTCAGAGTCATTGTTCATTGCATCTGTTCTTCTGGCTTCTGAGGCTCTGACCTTTCAGTTTAAACTTTTGCCCTCATCATCTGGTTACATAATATCTTGTTCTGTCCTCCTGCTCCGACTCCATGGTGACGAACAGATTATCTGTTTGTGCTTCTGCCATGGCTCTCCGGGTCATTCGGATGTTGTGAATGACAGCTGCATGTTTATTTCCCTGCAGCTACATCTACAAGCCTTTTGTGGGGTTTTTTCCACTAGTTTCCAAAATGTAGAGGCTACAGAAGAGGATTAGGGCCACTGAAAAAAAAAAAAAAAA